GGGCTTGTTGCTATTTGTCTCCCTGCAGCTTAGCTACATCCCTGAATTGCTACATTCTTTCACTGGAGAGGACTTGGAGACTTTAACCACCTTCTAGAGCAGGCATGTCAAACTCGCAATGTCATGTGACATCGCGCAACGTATCGCAACTTTTTCCCCATTGCCGGCAATGGGGTGGGCTCGGTTTCAATATGATGCATCTGGCCCATGGGCCGGCAGTTTGACATGCCTGTTGTTGTGATTCCGTGCCAGCCTGTGTTCCCAACAGCTGAGTCCAGGGAATCTGAGGAGAAGGTGGAGGAGGCATTTGGAGGGCCATCAGGGTCAGAGGGAGGCTCTGATGAATTACAAGACTCACGGTTTGATGAAGAGCCTGGGCCCTCCAGCTGTGTTCCGGATGAAACTCAGCTGTGTGGGGAGAATGAGTCAGACTTGGAGGATTCACATCTGATGGACATGATTGATGCTCGTAGATGCAGGCAATTAGCTAGAGCAGATCAGCAGCAGTCAATACCACAACTCCAGGGGAGGAGAAGAAGGCATTGAGAAGCCACGCCTTAGGACTGCTTTATAAAAAGGGAAGGTCTGGACGGTGCTGGTTGCTGAAGGCAACCGTTTGTAAAGAACTTCAAGGATCATGATCTGTTTTGTTTTATCAATGAATTTCTTGTTTAAACTTCTGCTCTGTTTGCTTTTGTAACCAATTATCTGTTAGGAAAGTATTCTGTGTTTTTGTTTTGGAGAAAAACTTATCAGGACTGTTTTGAAAATAAAAAGAGGTTGGTTTTCTCAACCTACTGTTTAAGAGGGGTTTGTTCTTGTGACGTAACAAGGACAGACGTAGGCTGGGACAGAACACCTGTTCTAGAGGGAACGGTTTAGGGCAGCTAAGGAGTTCATGACCATTACAGCAACCATGGACCTGATTCAAATGATTGTGTGTCTGGTGCAAACCAGAGATCCCATGCTAGAACTGTTTTTCATCTTGGAGCAATTGCAATGTGATCTAAAAGTGAGAATATTAATAGTACTTTGTTATGACCGTATCACTCTAATCATTTGATGTTGTTGTTGGTGCTATTCCCTCTTCTCCCAGGAAGGAAGGACCTATTAGATTGGTCTAATAGGCTTCTAAGAAGTCCATCAGGCTTCTAGGGTAACCTTAGGACTTTCCCTCAGAACTTGGTGCATGTTTGTCAAAGGACTTGTTTTCTATTTCAAACAGGCAGATGTATAGTAGATCTAAGATCAGATCACTTTTAAATGGCATTTTGCTGCTTGTTAATTTCAGAGAACTTCCAGGTTTTCATTTCCTCAGGAAATGAAATGTTAAAACAGACACCTAAGAGTACCATTGCAGGAAGCTGAGGAGTAAACCTTAATGAGCCTTAGGATAACATCAGATTGACATCATCAGTATATTGATGATAGTTGTCTCATCTTGACCTTGGGCCAGCCAAGTGGTGCCTGGAGGCTGTTGGAGACTGTGTGGGGAGGAATAGACTTAAGCAAAATCAAATAACTGGGCTATCTAGCTCAGGGGACTATCTGAATGGGGCTGCACTTATCCACTTAAGGCTGGTGTGCAATCTGAGAGTTTTCCTGGACTTTCAGTTCATGTTCAAGGAACAGACAGCAGCTGTAGCCAGGAAAACCTTGAGATCCATCTTGTATACTAGCTGGATTAGTTCCTTGATTAAGAGACTTTTCTTTACATTCACTCATGCCTCAGTTATTTTGCTTGTGGGCCACTTGATCCAAATGCAGCACAGGAAACAGTTTTAAGCAGCCCTCACAATGCTCCTGTAACATCTCTTTTCTGCAAGCTGCATTGGTTACCAATAGGGCCTGGGTGCAATTCAAGGTACTGGCTATCTCTTATAAAGTCCTACATAGTATTGGGGGTAGTTATCTAAGAGACCAACAGTCTGCTTTGTCTTTTGTCCATCTTATACAATTAGATCAAGAGTTGACTCTTGGTCCCATCAATAGAACACTGTCATCTAGCAGGACCCTGGAAGTGTGAGTGCTCTGATGGAACACTTGTCCCCTGGAATAACATCTCCTCAGAGATTTAAACTGCAGGTAACCTCCCAAATAAGGTTACATGTAGTTTAAATAAGCTTTGGACCCCTGCATCTTAAGCCCTGAAATAGAATAGTTGATGGGCCCCTTTACGTTGGGTACTGTATTGTAAAGAGATTTTTATTGCTTCCTTTGGGCAACTATCAACTTTCGTGATACTGCAATATTTCTGTCTTTTGTAAGGCAGCCAAGTTATTCTGGAGTTGGAGAGCCTAGATATGTGTTTTATAAATAAATTATAAATTTATACATTCATTCTGTACAGGTTTGTTTTTAACCAATGAAAACAGACCAGAGTTTTTCTCTCAGAAAAATAATTCCAAGGTAAATTAAGTACACAAACCCCAGGAAACACATGTTCTAAAAACTATTTTTTGACCTATTTCAAAAACTCTTAAGTATGCCAGTAATGAATCACATTCATATACATACATACATACATACATACATACATACATATAATGTATATCAAGAGTCCATATTCCTTTCATTAAAGGCTTTAGTGTTTAGTACTTCATATCTAAATCTTAAATGTATTGTAAAGCAGAGTTCCCCAACCTTTCCGGCTTTGTGGACGGGGGGGGAGGGGGAGAGGCGATGCGTCCCTGCGAGTGGTGGGCAAGTGTGTGTGGGCAGCTCCATTTGCAAAAGCGGCAAGCACGCTTGCCCAACACCTGTGCAAATGGAGTGTCAACACACGCACTCGCCTGCTGATCGTGCGAGTGGGGATGTGCGCCCGTGCTCACCCGCCACTTTTGTGACCTAGTTCCAAAAGGCTCAAGGCCCAATAATGGGCTGCAGCCTGGGAGTTGGGGATCCCTGTTGTAAAGGAGAGCATATAAAAATGTCTTCTGCTCTATTTTTAACTTAGAGGGGGGGAAAGCATATTTATAAGAAAATACCACAATTCCTATGAAACATTTTGTCATTTGGATTACTAAGAGATTTCATTTTAAAGTATGAAGATTTTTATACAAATTTTATTCATTCTAAATAGGAAAAAATATGCCTAATTTATGGATTTCCATTTCACCTAATGTAGCTGAATCCTGCAAGAATAAGGACAGGCAAAAAGATTGGATTTTTTTGCACAAGGAATAAACTTTGGAATTCATTAGCATGAGCTGGCTACAAGATTGGCTAGTTTCTAAAAAGGGTTGGACTTAATGTTGGGCTAAAACTAGACTCTTTTTGTTGAAATAGTTTTTTCTTACTAGGAAAATTGTTTTTTATATATATTTTAAAGCTTTCCTATTTCTCAAATGGTAATTAAAAAATCTTTAAAATACTTTGTAGTATTGGCAATTTTGCTTATATGCTAGCAAGCTACAAACCTATTCCCGTTTATACAGGAAAGATTCTGCTTAAAAAAATTAAAGAAGATCTTAATTCTTTTAGGTCAGCTGCACTGGAAAAATTTATTGTAAAACCTATCCTACAAATATTCAAATATATCTGTCCTTTATAATAAAATATCAATATATAATTTTATATACCGATTACACGCACATATGTATAAATTTAAATTTGATAAATGTAGGCTGCGCATATCCCAATTTCTTTCACAAATCACATTCCCTGCATTTTTCTCGTAAAATAATTCAGAGAAAATATGTTATGACATCTTCATAAACTGCAAAAATGTTATATTCTAAGGCAGATTAGGGAAACAAGAAGGTAAAATAAATTAAGACTAAATCAGCCTTAAAAGCAGGCCTCATCTTGAAAACAAGTAAAAAAAAATCTATCTCAATGTCAAAGGGGGAAAAAAGGGCAAATGGTTTGGAATACCTCCCTATTCCTTAATTTGTTATCTAAGATTTCTAATATAGATGGCTTGATTACCATTTCTACATTTTTATTAAAGAATACCATTTTTCAAAGGAGTTTGGAATGGACTGCTTTACATTTGAATCTACAGCTCTTTCTAATAGAAAACTTAAATTTTATTTGGAAAAGTCAGATTTGAAAATTACACATCAGAGAAACAGACTGAATTTGTAAAATCAGCAAATGACATTTTATTAAGATAAGGAATCACGGCATTAATGCAATTATAGCAATCTACAGAAATACATTCCACTAACTTTTGCAATCAGGCTTCTCTTTTATTCTCAGTGTGCCAATGTTTCCCAGAAGTAATTCAGTATTTACAAAGGTAGCAACTTCCTTATGTGCACTCAGGAAATGCAATATTAGCCTTCTGATATGACTCATATCTTTCTTTAGCCAGGACTGAGAATTGAGCAAAAGCAACACAAACTGAGAAAGCGATAGGGCAAACACTATTGTGCATATAACCACAAAGCTTTTCTGACTCTGAAATAATGGAATGATGTAATCCATTCATTAAAGTGTAGACAGATTTACAGTTTATATTTACAGTTTATATTCATCCCCTCTATTAACTAACCTGATTTTACTGTCGTTACATTAATGAACACAATAAAATGTAAGGAACACAACAAAAATCAGCTCACAACTAGAAACGCCGAAAATGAGAATATAATTAAATGACCAGAGAAAACTCCTATTGCCACATGCTTCCAGAGCTAAAAACTTAACAGCTGCTAACCACCCCTAAACCAAACGGCGCCTACGTTTACCTCTTGCTCATCATGACTTGCTCCACAACCACAAGCAAGGAGGTCTCTAAAATAAGGGAAGCCACGAAGCCCGATTTCTACACCCCGAATGCTTGCCTTTACCCCGCCACGCTTCACCCAAGCCAAAGATGCTCATTTCTTGCCTTGACCTCTCGCGTGGATCAGAGATGCCCCATTCACCTGGCTTCACCCATCACCTCCATTCACCTGTCCCCCCCCACACACACACCCACACACCGGGACGTCTCGCAAGCCACGCCTCCTTCCCCAACGAGCGCCCCCTCCCCCTTCCCTTCCCCCCCCCCGCACCTTTGGCCTCACAGTCCGCGCAGTACTTGTTGTCCTCCTCTCGCAAGAGCTTGGCCAGGATGGCCTGGTGCTGCTCGTTCTGCTTCTGCGCCTTTTCCCGGCAGGAGCGGGTGGACATGGCGAAGGGGAGAAGGGCGAATGGACGGGGGAGGAAGGGGGAAAAGAACAAGCGGAGAGGTGAAGAGAGGAGCGGCGAGAGAGAGCAGGAGGGCCGGAGGCGGCCGGCGCGCTCGGACGACCCAGAGGAAGAACTCCAGCGGCAGCCGGTAACCCGAGAGCGGCGGTGATAGCGGTGCTTCCTATTTCCCCTCCTGCCGCTCCTAGCTGGCTCTCTCTCTCTCTCTCTCCCTCCTCCTCAGTCACGGCGACTGGGCGAAGCCGGCGCGCCAGCTCAGCCAATCAGCGGCCGCCGGCATGTCAAGCCAGGTAAAGCGGAGCGGCGTCGGCGTTCTCAACCGGAACTACTCCTGGCAAACGCCCGCATCCGCTTGCGCAAAGCGGTGCCTGACATCTTACTCAGCGGGATGACGCGCCTCTGTCGCTGCCCCGCCCCTTTCCTTTTCGTCTCTCTCCCCGTGACAAAGTAGTTCTGTGGGGGTTCGTAGTTTGCGTCGAGAGAGAGAGAGAGAGATAAAAAGGATACGTTTGTTGGCACTCGGAAGAGACACTCGCCCCCCTCGCCTTTCAGTAAGTGGTTTCTAAGTAAAATAGGAGAGAAGACGGCTCTTTCTTGCATCTCGCGGTGCAAAGAGCGCAGCCGCCCGCCCACAAAAATAATCTGCCCCTTGGGTATCCAGCATTCCAAGACCACGTATTCATCCGCTTACGAAAGGCTGGGAGGGTAGCGGAGATGGAGCAGCCTTTTTCCTCGCAGTTGCGTGGGCCTAGCAGCTGATTTCCCACTCGGAGGCATCTGCGCAAGGGAATCAAGGGATTTCTCAGTTACTCAGGTTTGGAGCCGGGACCCTGGAAACGGAACAGCTTTAGAAATGCTCCCAAGAAACAAGCAAGCGCTTTCGGCTTACTTTCTTAGCAGAACGTGTTTATCGGGAAGAAATTAGTCCGTTTCTGACTGTCGGAATATTGAGGATTATACAGCCCTAGCTGCCTTGCCCCAAATTCTGTGCGTGAGCGCGTGCGTGGAAATACTAGGGTCCAGTAAAGATGATTACAATGTAATTACAAAAATGCTGAAGATAACAATATATTGGAAGTTGTAATGCTATTAAAATAGGAAAAGTTTTCTTTCATGCAATTTTTTTTAAATTGAAAATGACTGAAAAGTGTCAGTCTTTTGGATATTGTAGTAATTCTTGTGCACAGATGCAGTCAGAAGTGTTCTTTTTAGGGCGTTGTTATTCAGTCATTAAATCGTATCCAAGTTAAGTTATATCCAACTCTAATGGCCCACAGCATGCCAGGCTCCTCTTTCCTCCACTGTGTCCTGGAGTTTGACCAAATTCATGTTCATTGCATTGATGACACTATCTCTGCTGTCCTCTTCTCCTTTTGCCTTCAATCTTTCCCAACATCCAATAAATCCTCACTTCTCATTAAGTGGACAAAGTTTTTGAGTTCCAGCCTCAGTATCAGTCCTTTCAAAGACCAGTCAGTGTTGATTTCCTTTAGGATTGACTAATTTGATTTCCTTGCAGTCCAAATGACTCTTAAGAGTCTCCTTCAATACCACAACTCGAAAGCATCAATTATTTGGCACTGTATTCTGCGGTGTAATAGAGAACTCTGTCATGCATGTCTGAAACCTATCCTGAATCTTCAATTTTGCTCTCAGTGGTACTATTGGCATAAGTCATAAAATCCAGGGGTCTAGAGGAGAAGGAAAGCATTCAGATGTGAAACTAAAAGATGCCAAAAAGAAGCCTCAGCAGCAGTGAGAGTCAATCAGGTAGTGGCACAATCTAGCAGCCCAAAGCACAAACATCTGGGTATTGGCAAAACAGAGTAGCCCAGAATAGATGTAATGGTGGAGCAGCATTAGAGGTAGCTTGCTTCCCCCTCCATAAGGAGATTGAACATCCCTACTTAAGCTTAAAGAACCAATAGGAATATAGGAAGGTAAAATATATAGATAATGTTGAATAGATGTTCAGTTATAAAATAAGAATTAAGAATCAAAAAGTTTATAAAAAAACTTTTTTATAAAGTTTATAAAACCTTATTACAAAGAAATCTATTTTTATAATAAAAATCCCATTTATAAAGGAACTGTCTCCTTGTCTTCGTTGCTATGCCACAAGGCAATTCTACAGTACTGGTTTTCAATATCTTGTCTATCGATATATTGTCTCTGCCTGGCTGCCATGTCCTTGGCTGTGCTGCTCTGTGTGGACCACGCTCAAGGGTGGGGCTGCTGGTGAGGAGGGGGCCATGGAGGGAGGTGGGGCTGGGGCAACGGCATGTGTGCCCACAGAGAGGGCTCTGAGTGCCGCTTCTGGCACGTGTGCCATAGGTTCACCACCACTGCTGTAGGTTCTGCTGGGACAAGAAATTAATTTAAAAACTCAAAAAAACAGTTTCGTCCCTGACCCTGAAGAATAGTAAAGCAGATACTGACCAGATTTGCTATGAAATTGTTGAGAGAGCCCTGGAGCACAGAAAGTACAAACTTAAATCTTATTATATGATATGCAATCCATAACTTGCATATAATCTTTCTGCTTCTTCTATGAGGGGAGTTATGTAATCATTAAAATACGGAGCAAATATTTCAAGAGTTTATTATGTATTCCGGATTAATTAAAACAATACTTACACTTGGGATAATATCCAGGGGTATAATATTTTGGGGGTTTCTTAACTCTGGGGATCAACAAATTCATATGGAGAAATCTCGCCAGCAATGAAGAACCTAGTCACTAATAAATTCCAAAAGAACATCAGGAGGATCTGATTCCGCCATGAGAGGTTGAATCACCAGGAGAAGAGTATTTTTTAAACAGCATATGATACTTGACAGGGCACTGGATCTATCAACAGACCAGCTCAGCAATCAATAAAAGCAGAAGATGGAATCTTTATAGTCACATCACTGGAAATATTTTTTTATAATCTGATCCATGAATGGTTTTGCAAGCACTGCCTTAAAACCACTTCCTTAAATCTTAAGGAGCCCCATTAAACCTAAGTAGAAGATGATGCCATTTTAAAGCTACAATTTATGCATGTTCCTAGAATAAATGCAACTTAATTTTTTTGAAACATGAAACAAGTTACATAGGTACATAGTTGTAAAAAAACAGCAGAACTAAGTACAGTGACATAGAATATCGAATAAACTGCCTATTTGTATTTTTATTTTATTTTTTTTATTATTTCATGAGTGCTTTATTCATAGATCACAACAATTCCATACCTCCATTAAAATAAATTTGGATGAATTACACTTGGTTTTCTGAAAAGAAAAACCAACAAATAAATAAATACAATTATTTATTTTATTTATGTGCTGCCCATTTTATCCAGAGGTGACAAACATTATACCTATGTCAGAGCCTTGACAGCTTACCTGTGAAATTCTGATAAATCCAAAAACTGTTAAAGAAATTATAACTTAAATTTCGATGATATCTCAGTTTATTTCAAAAGTCAAGTTTTTTTAAGTAGATTAATTCAGAAATTTTCTTTTTTAGTAGGAAGCTTACAATTTTTATTTCAGAGGTATAATATAGTCTTAGAACAATATCAATAAACATACAGCTGCCTTTTATTTTGCAATTTATTTATAAACTTTTCATTTATTTCTTGTGTAAATGTGATATTGCTGGCATCACCAGAATAAACTAATCCACAGAAAGCTCTTAATAATAGAATAGGAAATTGGCAGGAAAGCAAAATCCCAGAGCCTTTTTAAAACTCTGGGACACATTTGCTTTCTTTTCAATTTGCTTGGTTTTCCCAGTCTCTTTATGTGAAGCTTTTTTGTTTGGTTTACTAGGGAAATTTCAAACAAAATATAGTCAGGATTGTAGCCAAATATTGTTGATTACAGTTAAAATGTGACAACAGTTGATTTCATTACATTAATATTATCTTTACCCTTTAGTTTATATTTTTTTATTATTATTGTGCACTCTCCTGGGAGAATTGTGATGCCATTTTCTTGTTTTCCTGCTTTGTTCTTATGCTTATCTAATATTTGATTATATAAAAGTAATTTTTATTAGCAGGACGGATTTTTGTTTTGTTTAGATAACTAGCAAACATAGTGATGAAAATTAGCTGCCTGGAGTCACTGCAACAATGAGATGGGAAATATATAAATTTAATACATTAATAAATTAAATGCTTATAATAGTTTCCTGAATTTTAAAACTAAAGGCTGATGAAGAACTTCCTGTTCACTAACAATTATCCAAGCAATACTTTGGTTCAGTTCTCTCCCAAATTGAGAAATCATTGGATCTTACATCATAATTAGTGATTAGTGAAGTTGTGATCCATAAATGTCTCCTCATTTTTAGAAATTAAGTTCAGAATAAAATATTTTTGTTGTAGAAACCTTTAAATAATATTACCATTACAACCTAGGGCCTTGTCCTATGTTTTTCATTCCTGCTCTGTGATTCACTAGTACACAACAACAAATTTTCCTGTATTTGCATGCATAAATGATGCGTTTTTAAAAGCCACCATAGTATGTAGCATCTTCTTTCTGTGTGTCTTTTCATTTCTCTACAACATTTCTGTTCTGCCCAAAGCTAATTGCTATAGCAATAAGACCATCTTTTTAAAGCTATTGCATCATAATTTGGTTTGAAAATAGACTATTTAGCATCAACTGTGCATAATTTATTTGCTGTTATATTTAATTGTCCTTTGTTGTGATTGACATAATTAGCCTGATGTACAATGTTTTGACAAATCTCATCAATCCTGCAACATTTTTGCATTCCTCTGAGGCAGACTGCTTCTTCTTTATATAGATCTGACCTTTCTCTAGGAAACCACTTTTTTTCTTCAGGGCTATGATAAATTAAACTGTAATTTTTTCTGATGCCATAAGATTTACAATATCTTTGAAAATGCTTCCTGGAATTAATCTTTTTTTATCCTCTCATTTCCTACCCATCAAGACTAATAAGCCTAATTTTAATTCTTTCTCCTTTATTCAAATTATTTGCTACTTTTCTCTATTCTTTCCATTTTTCCATGTTGCAGATTCCATTTTGTAATTCTAGGACCACTACAAAAGTTTCATTAACTTAGGGCAGTATTTTTTAGGAATACTGATCTATTTATAGACTATGCACATGACATATATCAATAGACATAGATCAGGTTAAAAAACAAAACCACATCCAACTCCAATTAGAATTTCACTAAGCCTGTGTGCAACTGTCTGCTCACATTTGTATATTATTCCACAATAAATAGTTTTTTAAATAACTTTATTTAATTTAATATTTATTTAATAATTATATTTAATTATCTGCAGGGAAAAAGGTTTTAACTGACATGCAAAGAATCGACTTCTGTTTGCCTTCCAGAAAATGTGAGATGGAACCAATAAGAAAGGGTTAATTCAAAATCTTCTCCTCACTAGGAGGCCTTAAGACTTTTCCCTGTCTGTGGAAGAAACCCCCATGCCTTCTGCCCCTCAAGGAAAGAAGGAAAATGTCCAAGCACCTCTTGGTACCTGTATACAAACTGCTCAGTGCTTTGTCAGAGATTGCAGCAAGAGCTCATGTGGCCAAGCTTATTTATTTATTCATTTTCTGAGTCCAGAACATCTTACATTAAAAAGAAAAAAGATACTTAAAACCAATATAACAATCTAAACAAAGAAAACTTTCAATAACTATATTACAAACATAAAAAAATTCAACACGGAAGGAATTTAAAACACTTATGTGACATTATATAACATTTGAGGCCCAGAAAGTAGCGGTCGGAATAGCTTTATCATTGGCCAGGAACAACTTGTCCATTGGCCCATAAAGATTAGGGCGTATCAATAAATATTCAGGACTCTTCAATTCCACACATTCACAGTTTCCATACCCAAGTTATATCCCTTATTGTGGCCAAGCTAGCAGAGTGGAAAGAGTGAGGGAAACATCTAACTGAGAAACAGCAGCTTCCAGAACCAAATTGAATAATGGCAGCAATTAAAATGGTCTCCCAGAAAAGGACTTAATATCTAACATCAGTGAGCTGCTATCAGCCCTGACTTTTCAAAATCCATGGTTTTAGAAGACAGTAAAAGAAAAGTAGGGAAAGGCTTAAATGGGTATTCAGGAGAGATCCAACATTTCTACTGCTGAGAAGCTGAAAAGAATGGTTGTGTCTGAGTGTACAGATCTTTTAGCTCTGGAAACCAAACATGACTGTATTTTTGACTTCTCAGAAGCCACAGTGAAATGCTTAATTACTATAATCTTCCACATATTCATTTATGGTAGGATTCCTGTCAGCATACTGCACAATGCAAAACAATACCATTTTTTTAAACATAATCTTCTGACAAAAGATTCTGGCTGTTCATAATAAACAAGCATCATTTTCTATGATTATATCCATCTGTGTGGCATGTTTTAAACAGCAGGCAGGTATTTATATTTTATAGACTAAACAGCATCTTCCATACTAGTCTATCCTATTGGGAAAAAAATTGAAAATCACCTCAGTAAACAAATAGATTTCATATTTACCTGCAGAAAAATTGAGAGTATGTCTCTGAATGGACATTTCATAATTTTATATGCATTTTATAATATTGTAAGTTAATTGTTTCAATTTTTTTCCTTTTAGGGATTTTTTTTGGTAATAGTTTAAAATCATTAGGCTAACATTAGAAGCTGTACAGTATTATTCTTTCTCTAGTTTTCTAATTTTAAGGAGATTATTAGAATGATGATTCAGTTTGCCTACATTTCTGAAGTATGATTAATTAGCATTTGATAGAAGTTAGGGGAAACTTTACATAATCTAATTATGAAAAATAATCTCACATAAATTTAAATAAACCTAAATAAAAGTTGAGTTTTAGAAAAAAAAATCTTATTCATTGTCCATAGTTCTTTACTATTCATCCAGAGTTATAACTGTCAGATAGCTGGATGTACTGGATATATGTATGTATGTATGTGTATGTGTATGCCTAGTAGTGAAAGATCTAGGAGTTGTCATTATCTGGTGGGATAAAG